CCCCCTCCTCACTTGGCCAATTTGTGGCGCGCAAAAGCCCGCAAGGCAGTTTCCCTTCCGAGGAGCTGCGGCAGCGAGGCCGTGCCCGCCCCCCCCCCTCAGGGACCATGTCAGGGGAACTGCCTCTCAGCCCTCCGGAGCCCCTCCCGCCCCCCTGGCTCCGCTGGGGCCCCTGCGCGAAGGTCCCTCTCAGGGGGACGCCTCCTCTGCTGGCCCGGGAGGGCCCTCTCCTCCTCCTCCTCCTCCTCCCGCCGGGAGAGTCTCCTTCTCGATCGCAACCGTGACCTGGACCCTCAGCGGCCCGCAGTCGGAGCCCAGGCTCCAGTTCCCGTGGAGATGCTGCCCTTCCCCCGGCGTGCCCTCCCTTTGGGGAAGGCCCAGGCTGAGCTGGTGGCAGGCCTGGCGGTCGCAGGCGAGGCGGAGGCCTCCCGCGGGGTCCTGGTAAACACACCGAGAGGAGGAGGAGGAGGCGCCCTGCTCCCCCCCAGCAGGACCCTGCTGGCCCTCCGCCCGGCAGCGGGCCGACCCAGGCGGGCGCCGGGGGCAAACCAGCTGCTCCTGCTCCACGCCTGGCAGGCTCAGGCCCCGCAGGTGAGCCGGGCTCCTGCACAACGCTTGGGCATTGGCGAGGGGGTCGGAGCCCTGCAGCCACTGGGCCAGGTAACCCAGGTGGCAGTCACAGGCCCAGGGGTTGCCTTTCAGAGCCACCAAGAAGAGGGCCTCGTTGGTGTCGAAGAGGCCGTCCGGCAGAGCCGCCAGCTGGTTGTGGGCAAGGTCTAAGAACTCCAGGCGGGTGAGGTTGGCGAACGCCTCCCGAGGCAGAGCGCTGAGGTTGTTGTGGCTCAGCCAGAGCCTGCGGAGGGCAGGCGAGCCAGCGAAGGCCCCGGCGGGCAAGTGGCTCAGCCGGTTGTGCGACAGGACCAGGAGGGAGAGCTTGGGCAGGTCACCCAGCAGCCCCTCGGGGAGGCTCTCCAGCCGGTTGTGAGCCAGGGAGAGCTCCACGAGGCCCGGGGTCCCCCGGAAGAGGCTCCCGGGCAGCTCCGCTAAGTGGTTGTGGTCCAGCTGCAAGAAGACCAGGCAGGAGAGGGAGGAGAAGAGCGCAGGAGGCAGGCGCTCCAGGAGGTTGTGCTGCAGGTGGAGACGCCGCAGGTGGGGCAGCGGAGAGAGCAGGCCCTCCGGCAGCTCGGCCAGGGCGTTCCCCTCCAGGAAGAGCTCCCGGAGGCTGCTCAGGGAGTGGAAGACGCCCGGCGAGAGGGACGCAAGGTGGTTGTCGCTCAGCTTCAGCGCCCGCAGGAGAGTCAGGGCCTCAAAGACCCTCCCCGGCAGCTCGGCCAGGCAGTTCCCGGACAGAGAGAGAGACTCCAGCTGCCCCACGGGGTGGAAAAGGGCGGCGGGCAGAGAGCAGAGCTTGTTCCCTTCCAGGTGGAGGGCTCGGAGGCCTGCCGTCTGCTGGAAGAGTCCCGCCTCCAGGCTCTCGAGGAGGCTGAACTGGACGGACAGCTTGCTAAGGTGGCCCAAGCCCACCAAGTGGTCGCTGGTCAGGGCGGTCAGCTGGCTGACGGAGATGTCCAGCTCTCTCAGCTCCGGCAGCCCCTCGAACGCGGCCTTGCCCAAAGACCGGAGGGCGGTGCAATAGAAGGCGAGCTTGCGGAGCCCAGTGAGGTTGGCGAATGCCCTGCTCAGGATGGAGCCCCCCGGCGTCTCCTCAAAAAGCAGCCGGCTGGCGTTGGGGACGATCCCGTATGGCAGCTCCGACGGGCATTCCTCGGAGCAGAAGGCGGTGGTGTTCCCAAAGCACTGGCACAGAGCTGGGCAGGACCAGGCCGGGCTGCCGAGCGGAGAGAGGAGGGCGGAGAGCCCCAACAGCAGGAGGAGCAGCAGCAGCCGCAGAAGGAGGAGGCTCGGGGGCTCCCTGCCCATTGCCCTGACCTGGAGGGAGGGCAGAGGAGCCCGTCAGGGAGGGAGACCCAGGAGCAGCAAAGAAGGCAGAAGGGAAGAAAGACGGCAGAAGCCTTTCCGGTTTGGGGGGGGGGGAATCACTAAACCCAGTTAGCAGTGCCAGCTAAGGTCGGAGGAAGGCGCATCCCTCCTCCGTGCCTAAGAGACGCGGTGCCCCATTTCCCGTCCCCAAGCCTGGCCCAGTGGCTACGGAACCTGGGAGAGGAACCCCCCCCACACCCCAGCTGGTTCCGGGGCTTAATTCTGCACCCACAGGAGAACCACTTGGAGGGGGGGGTCTCCGCTTGCTCGCAGGCCTTGGTGACCGCTCCCTCCTGGCGACAGATCCCGCTGGGCTCCGGGAAGGAACCGCCGCCTGGCTGGGCTTCCCGGCTCCCCACCCTCTGGGGTTCCCGAGGGGCGCTCCACCTACCGTGCAGCTGGGCACCCGCAGAGAGTCCTCGCCCTCCAGGTGGCACCGAGGCCCCCTCGCTCGGTGGGGTTTGCCAGGCAAAGTGTGGAGTCACTGACCGACCCGGCTGAAGTGACTGACCGGCCGGTTCTTGCTTATCTGAGGGCACGTCCTGCGTTCCCAGCAATTCTAGGTAAAGGCTCGCCCCCCCCCGGAAGCAGGGGGAGGAGGAGGCCATTAGCCTCTCAGCACGCACACACGCACCTGCGCCCGCAAGGGCCAGAAGTTTCCCCATAGCACCTGCAGCTGTTCCGTGGGGGGGGAGCCGCTCCAGGCAGCGGTGGGTGGGCACCTCCTGATGGCCAGGGGCCCCCTTGCCATCAACTCGCAGGAGCAGACACAGAGAGAGAGAGAGAGAGAGAGAGCCTTTGGACCGCCGGAGGACCCTAGTCTTCGCCCAGATGGATCCACTCAGGGCCCTTGATCGGACCAGAAAACAGACGCCCCCCCCAACCCCTGCTGCTCTGCTTTGCACAGAGCGTGGGCGGAGGCGCCTTCTCTTGGCTGACACCCACCCACCCCCGTCCTACACCAGCTCCTCGCCAAGCCCTTCAGCGCTTACCGTTCAGGGAGACTCCGAGGGCAAACGCTCCTGGCCTGTCCTTCCCCCACGCCCAGGAAAGCGGCCAGGTCTGACGAGGAAGGGCTTTGCTCTGGGGTGGGGAGTCCCCCTCCGCTGTGTCAGGAAACGGGTTTCCCACGTGTCGGAGGGCAGAGAAACCAGGGTGAGGGGAAAGAAGGACTAGGGCGGACCCCTCCGCACGTGGTGGATTTGCTTATGTTGTTCAAATACGGCTCAGGCTTCAGTCTGAACGAGGAAGACCAGCCTCGACAAGGGCCG